TGGGGGTGTGGTGGGGTTGTGGTGTGGTGGTGGGTGTGGTGTGGTGTTGTGTGGTTAGGTGGGGTGTGGTGTGGTGTTCACAGTTGTGTGGTTACATGGGGTGTGGTGTGGTGTTGTGTGGTGGGGGTGGGGTGGGGTTGTGGTGGGGTGGGGTGTGGTTATGGTGGGTGGAGTGAGGTGGAGTGGGATGGGATGGGGTGGAGTGGGGTGGGAGGGGGTGGTGGAGTGTGGTGGGGGTGTAGTGGAGTGTGGTGAGGTGGAGTGGAGTTGGATGGGGTGGGGTTTTCGGCAAAATTATTTGACCTAGGATTGTACGGAAATCGTTCGCGCGAGATTCAACGCGAGATGGTCACGTATTTTTTTCCGCTGGCGACAGTAAAAAAACGTAATCTTGTCGTCTGTCGACACGTCCCCGTCTGATCGAGCGATAAAAAAACGAGATCTACATTTTTTTGAAGGCAAGCGCCGCGGCTGCGTGCTTTTTGCAGCAGAGAAAAAAAACAAATTACGATTTTTTTTCATAAATCCGTAAATCCTAGAAAATTTGCCCGCAGGCCCCCGTTTCATGAATAAAACATCATTCTAATTAAAACGGCGAATTCCGATCGCATATTCTACCTCGTTAGAACAATATTATTCGAGACGAATATTATCATCATCGACTGGCCGTATTTTCAGCGTCGACTTCAAACGTATGCTTCTCGCTTTATCGCGAGAGAGAGGCGGACTGATTGTGTTTCCCATTGAGATTTTTTTTTAAGTAGCCGACACTACTTCATCTAAGGCGATGACAAGCGAACAGAACAAGCGTCGTCATTTGGCCGGACGTCGCCACGATTTCGCTTTAACCACCACGTCCTTTTCTTGCTCTTCGTTTTTTCTCTCTCTTCATTCTTTCGAATTAGCTTTGGAATTTGGCAGCCCAACATTGGCATGCGCGCTGACAGACGGAGAAAAAAAAGGGGAGAAGGGGGAGGAGATGACGAACGAGCACGTGGACGACCACTTTGACAGCGATTCTTAATGAGGTTAGGCGGGTGCGTGTGCGTGGCGTGACGACGGGGCGCGCGGGGTGACCCCCGCAAACACGTGTTTCACGACATTCGAATCGTACGTCGGCTGGCGACAGAAACTCGCCGCCGAATGACAATCAGGGAGAGGAGACGTGGAATACTAATCAACACGCTCCGATTTCTCCGCGTGCGGATTTTCCACTCCCTGCGGATCTGAGATGCGGTTTTGTGAAAATGGCGGGGGACGGTGGTTAATTAGAGAGAAGCGTTTTAGCTGGAGACGTGGCGGGCACAGCTGCTGCTGCTGCTGCTGCTGCTGCTGCTACTACTACTGCTGCTGCTACTACTACTACTACTACTGCTGCTGCTGCTGCTGCCGGTGTGGCTGTCGCGTGTACGTCCGGAAAGGCAGTTAGCTTCCTGTTAGCGAGTGAGATTTGGAGCGTCGCTAGAGATGCTGTGTGTCGCATTGAGGCGCGCACAAAGCCCACGCTACAGACGAAATGTTATAATGAGTGAATGAGCGATCAAAGGGATGAACGAGCGAACAAACGAATGGACGAATGAACGAATGAATGAACGAACGAACGAACGAGCGAACAAAGGAACGAGCGATCATATGGATGGATAGAGAAAAATTAAGGAACGATGCAAAAAAGAAAAAATGAATGGATGGATGGATGGACGGACGGATGGATGGATGGATGGATGGATGGACATGCAGATGGATGAGTCATGGGATTGGATAATGGCGATGGATGGATGGATGGGATGGGGGATTGGATGGATGGATGGATGGATGGATGGTGATGGGATGGGTGGGGATGAGGATGGATGGATGGATAGGAATTGGATGGATCGGGTTGGTATGGATGGCAATGGCGGAGAATTGGATGGGTGGATGGAGGGATGGTATGGAGGGATGGATGGATGGATGGATGGATGGGGATGGATGGATGGACGGATGGATGGCATGGTATGGATGGATGGATGGATGGAATGGCGTATGCGCAGTGGGGATGGATATGGGGTAATGGGATGGATGGGATGGAGA